TATATATATATATATATATATATATATATATATATATATATATATATATGAAGGTGTTTTAAAGCCTTCCCACACTCTTGCAATATTATAAACAATGTTTCTAAACTCTAAACGCTCTAAAAGAGCATAGAATGTCATGATTTCGGCTCCCTGCCTCGGCTGCTCTCAGCCACCTGCAAGCGTTTTTGGCCACGCCCACTTCTCCGCTCTGCCCAGAGCACAGCTGATCAGCTGCAGCAGGAAGATTATCCTGCAGAATGGGCTGCACAAAGGTGCAGCAGGTGCTAAATAATTTATTTTCAATAAAAATTCCATGCGCGGCTCATCCATCAGTCAGCCGATTGTGTGTCGTGTCTAATTTTATTTTGAAAAATCACAATAGAGTGAGTCCGCGATAAACGAACCGCGAAGTAGCGAGTGACTCCTGTATAACTAGCACAGACAGAACCAAAGTGGATCGCTCCAGTTTTCAGAATTACACAACAGAAGACGTGCAGTTCTACACTTCAAAACTGCACATTAGTATCAGTATTATCAATATTTGTATTTTCTGCACACACCATAATATAAAAGTTGAATAAAATGTGGAATGACCATTAAGACTGAGGTGCCATAATCTGTGCTTTTCTGTTATTTATTTAGTTCCTCAAGTCTACATTTTATTTTATTTTCCTTTGTGGTAGCTTTATTTTATTAATTTATTTATTGCCTGTTGGGATGTTTGTGTTTCTTGTGTTGTCGTCAGTTCCTGTTCCTGCCCCACCCACTCTCACCTGATCCTCATTGTCTCTCTCCAGGTGTTTTATCATTTCTCCCTCATTAGTGCCTCATTATATTTTGTGTCCTGTTGTTAATTGCTCATCCATGCATTACGTTGTCATCAGCATTGTCTTGTTCATTCCCTCGTGTTTCCAGTTTTTTTTTTCTTTTATGCACCATTGCTGCCATGTCTGCCATGTTTTAGTTAATGCATTACTTTTCTTATTTTACTTTTGAGTTTTTTTGTTTTTTTTGGTCTGCATCACGTTTACTAATCTCAAACATGATATGAGGTTACTTTGAAAGACACTGGATATGTATCCAGTTGTGTACCACACATGAAAATGACATGAGTCCGATACCACACCTAGGGACAAATCAGAGAAACCAGTAATCTTAAGGCACAGTTTTGGTCTGAAAGGAAACTGGAGTACCTGGAAAAGATCCACACATACATGAGGAAAATATACAAACTCCAACTCAAAGACCAGGGGGAACCTGCGACCTCCTCACTGAAAGGATCATCATCCAAACAAAGGTTCGGGTGTTCGACACCCGGCCCCTGCACTGTGCAGAAATGTGCTTGGGCAAAACACTGAACCCCCTAAAGACCCTGGTGTCGACATGTGAAAAGATAATTGTCTATGTACCCCAATAACATAATGAATTGATCTGGTTTGTGCCACCACCCAGTCATGAGATAGAATAACAAAAACAATATTTGTTATTGATGGAAAATTGATGATGTAGTGACTTTGTATTTACTTTTTTTATAATCGACTACAAAGAGAGTTGCTAAACTCTGTTAATTTGTCCTGTCCCGAAAACAATACAAGATGTTCCTCACACATGTAATGCTTTGCAGTCATCATCAACCCAGCCGAGTTCTGCTCCTCGCCGTTTGCTTCCACGCAGCTCGTTTCATTTTTGAAAGCTGTGGAAGACGTTGCCGACTCCTTCTGGTATTGATGAATGACCAGAGGCAGCACAAAATCAGACTGGTCTTGGCAGCCATTTAGCAAAACTGTTTTGAGAAAAAGCCTATTCAACCTAAACTTGTCCAGTGGACGCACTTTCAAAGCAAGTTTTGACACCTTTAGAAAAAACAAAACTTTATAATTGTTCATGCAAACTATTTCTTAACACAGCATTTTGGCCATCAATTCTTTGACACTCCTGCTGTAGGTGACCCCTGGTCTACAACTAGCTGCTGTCGCTGTTTGCGCTTGTAAAAACCCACAGAATTGCAGATAAGTAACTAAAATCACAGTCTGAAGCTGTGTGAAATAGCGTTTGCATGAACTGCTTTTGAAATCGTGAAACTTGGAGTCGTTTTGTGATGGACACATTCCACTTTGGCCTTGGCTGTGTTCAGAACATCGGTCCTGTCAGACTTAAACTTTATTTCTTCAAACTGAGGCTGTTCTAATAGGCATCTAAAAGAGGTAAGACTTTATAGTTTCTAATTCTTACATAGAATACTACTTAGATTGTAGAATAAGAGAGCATAAAATGGAATAATCATGATTGTCATTGTATGGCTTGTCTACAATTAGATTGTGAATATCCCTTTAATAACTGTGTTCTTTCAAGATAGAATAATCTTCATGATATTATATTTGTTAAAACTGCTGTTGTCAAAAAGCATAAATAGAGAGCTGGAGAGCTGAAATGTTAATCTAAACTAGGAAGAAGACTGCTTTGAACTATTATATGATAACTTTGCTTGCCATACATTGGCACGTAAGCACTGATGAGGCTGAGGCCAATCCCAGCAGAGGATGTTGTCTTGTTCAAAATAAGTTTTTTATTGAAAGATAAAAGACCATTCGTAAGACTCATTCAAGTTAATACAAAGAAAAAAAAATACATTTTCATTTTTATGTTAAAAAACAACATCAACAACAAAAAACAGGAAGATGATACAATCTTACCAAAGATCCAGTAAGTTATGAATTGGCCTAAAACCAGAGCATCATTTGTCAACAAATATGTCGTCATTTACAAAATCATTTAGGCCGGAATGACAATGGCTCATTCTTTTTGTCATGTGTCAATGAATGTCCATTCAATCATTAATGTTTTCACACTGAAAACATCTTATATTCCAAAACGTTTGTTGTTCAACTTTTACAGCATAAAATATGATGTTTAACTTCCGGTCTGCGCAGCACCTTGTGTCTTTTTGACACCCTCATTTCTCTGCCTCCCTGTTTGCTGTAAAGGCCTGACAAATACTGAAGCAAGTAAAACATATTCTGTTTTTTACACTGAGCCCTGTCTTTTATTTGTTTATCAATTAATACAAGGTCAAGTTTGACCATTTACCAGCTAATAGCACAATAATACAGATAAAATAATAAAAACTAGAGGTTGAACTCATTAGTTCTGATTGATACAGTAACACTGATATCAAAAGAGAAACTGACAAGAAATGATCACATTGATTTTTACAGTGACACAAGAAAATGTTTTAAAGATTTATTACATTTGGAAGTTAAGACTTCTTCAGGAATTACACTGTGAAGGAGACGTCTAAGCAACTCAACGACTTTTATTTTTGGACTATAAGGCGCATTAAGCAAAACAAGTTGATTTTGACAGATTTTTGAGCTCCGTGTAACACATAAAATTGGTTCGAGGTCAGTAAGCACAACCAGAAATAATACATAAAGTGCACTGGATTAAAACGCTCACTGACAATTTTTGAGAGAATTAAAGGATTTAAATGCACCTTATAGTCCAAAAATTACGGTATGTTAATGAGTACAGATTTAAAGAATGAATGACGGGTTCACATGTCTGGGTTAAAAACAAAAAGCTTCTGTTTTCAGCAAAAACACTGTTTCCCCATCCGCAGAAGACTTCTGGATAAATGTTTTATAGACAAATGAGACCAAAATAGACAAATGAGACCAAAATAGATATGTTTGTTTGAATAAAAATTATACATTATTATTTATACATCTGTAAAACAGGCTGCTGAGTGGGACGTGTTTTGCTGTAAAATCAACCATAGAACAACAACTTGTGATTTATTTTAACAAACTAGAACCAAATGTAAAATAAAAGTACAAAGTAAAAAGAGTAATAATTATTCAAAGCTATAAAAACAACAACATGAAGATAGCTATTTGAGTCCGTGGAGGCAAACTCCAGTTTTTGTTCAGAAAAGGAACTGGTGATGGAGTTCTTAAAAGGAAATGAAGAACGGCATCAACAAGAGAAGAAACTACTGAACATCGGCACAAATTTAAAATATAAGTTTATAAAGTTATGTGTGAAACCAGTCTTGGGAGATTCAACCCACATCTGTGAAACTCTTCCATGTTAGTTAACTCAGACCCAAACAAGCTTGACTCTCCTTGCGCAGCTGGTTGCATAAAAAGTTTGTGTTCGTGGTTTGTGGGGCTCCTGACATGTTGTTTGCTGCTGCAGAGAGGATTTCTTTCGTATTCTTATCTGATGTTTGAACCATATCGCTGCCGCCTATCCTGGCAGATGTTCTTCCGCTGCTGAAGGTAAATAAACCATCATCCTAACATTTAAACACAAAGTCTATCCAAACTTGGTCATTCAGAGTTTGCATGTTGGAAATTCTTCCCTTTTATTAGTTTTCTAATTTAGTTTAAGTTTTACCAGCAGTCTGACTAAAGTCTGAGTAAGGTTCTGACGTGCTGTTGGTTTTTTTAGTTGGAGGAAGTGTTGGTGTTACATCACTTTTCCCTTTGAGGGGTAGAGATATGCATGTTATTTCTGGGCTGTAGGCTGTGGTGCTTGTTAAACCAGTAGCCATTTCTGGTTTTATCCACGGTCACATTAT